ACGACTACGTCGACGACGACGACGACGACGACTACGACTACGACTACGACGACGACGACGACGACTACTACTACTACTACTACTACTCCTACTGAGTCCTACTGCTACTGCTACTGCTACTGCTGCTACTCATAAGGGGAAGAGATCGTGACTGTCCCCTTTACCTGTTCAAAACAAGGAAGGGAACATAAGCTCAAGAAGAAGGGGTGGAGTTCCCGCAACCTTCAAACAAAAACGTCTGGTCCTCCCCCGGCCTTTAGAAAAAAAAGGATAGTCGTCGACGTCATGCTCTAAGACAAGAAGAGACCCATGTCCTTCTTACTTACTTTTGGTATGAGAAAAGAACTCCTGTTACAAGAACTCCTTGGCCTCTTCGTGAGTCTCCATCTCCCCTGAACGCCTTTCGAAGCGGGGAAATCTAGGTGAAACGTCAGCCTAGGACGTATAAAAAAGGCGTTTACCGCTCTGAGCCGGAGCGAGAGATTAACTGAGTTCACCCTGTAGCAGCTTTCTGGCATATTTCACCCTTCACCTCCACTTCTACTGAGCACTACGGTGCCAATCCTACCACTGCGGGCATATCTTGATCATATTATCTTATACTTTGCATACTTACTTCTACTCTTTGTTTGGGAGCACTATTCATGCTCTGGCTGGGAAAGCAAAAAGGTTCTGCACCTATCTTCGCCTTCTACAAACCTTGAAGAATGTCTTATAGACTTCCTGAAGTAATACCTTATAGACTACCCCGATATATACCTCATTGACGACCTCAGAGCCTATACACCTTCTAGAATATCACCTATTTCTCACCTCTGGAATGCCCTGTGGAATACCTTGCACAATACCCTACAGAATACCCTATACAACGCCACATAATCAACCCCTATATACCATAGCTATGCCTGATAGAATGCCATCTGGAATATGCTGTAGAATACCTTTTGGAATGCCCCTATGTGGGATACCCCCTGTATACCTTATATATAGAAAAATATATAATGGAGAGGAATTGCTGCAATCGAACCTCCCCTCGCTGTCTCCCTTCTCGAAAAATGGGGATTAACAGCACCAAATGTTCTGAAACGACACCCTTCGGAACATGTGGTGCTATCGAGCCGCGCACGTTTGTTGTCCGTACTTGCAATGGATAACTCATTAATGCGCGATTCGGTAGCACTAAATGTTGAGAAAGGAAACCCTTCGGATAATTTGGTGCTATCGAACCGTCCTGTTTGTTGTCAGTATTTGCAATCGATAACACAGCAGCACAGCGGTTCGATAGCACCAATTTTTCTGAAAGGAAACCCTTCAGAAAATTTGGTGCTGGTGCGGCATAATTTAAATAACCCTCAAAAGGAGGGGGCCGGCCCACCGGGAATTTAATAGATTAAATAATTCAAATCCAGAGCCCTCCCCCAATATTTGATTATTTAGATTATTTAAGTTCCGGGTGGTCCTGGGTCCTCCCCAAGACTTAAATGATTCAAATTATTTAATTCCAGGCCCGAATTGAATAATCTAAATACTGGGGGAAGCCTCCGGATTTACAAAACAAAACTCAGGGATTGGATGTCGATGCCTCCATGATTTCACTCGCATTGAATCAACACTCCAGCGTATATCTAAAGGGCATGACCTCTGACCTCTAATTGCAAATATCTATGTCTCTCTCTCTCTCTCTCTCTCTCTCTCTCTCTCTCTCTTCTCTCCAGGCCTCAGAAACACCTAACAAAGTGTGATGCAGACCAGCCGCACTCGTCCCACAGGCCATGGTTTTCGTCCCAGCTGGGAACATATCAAACAGCGCGCAATGATTAAACCGTAGACCTGGTGCCAGAGCCTTTTTGCAAGATCACGCTGCGTTTCTCCAGGGTCCGTTGCTTACAGGACGTTGGCCCTGCCTTTCCGGTTCGCTGCGTTGCAGCGACACCACCTCCTCAGCTTGCCAAACAAAGCATCCACGACGCACACAGATTTTCATGGACAACTCACCTGTGCCAGCCCTGAATTCCATGAACATGCGTCCGAACTAATGCGAAACATCGGGGAAGTGATTGCACCTTCGGTTTCGGCTGTGCTTTGGCCGTAGCCTTGGCTTTGGCCTGCTCGGTGCACCGGAAGCGCTCCAGGAGTTCCTCGAAGTCCGCATTGAAGGCGGCCAACGCCCATCGCGGAAGGAGAGCGCGAAGAGGTGGAGGAGCGCACACTGCATGAGCCGATTTACCTCAAGCCCAGATGGATGGCGCAATGCGTCGTAGCACAAGAAACCAATCACCAATTCGTACCCCCAGAACACCCGTCGCATTTTGACAAGAGCACGAGTACCATCCCCAAATGTGTAAGGATTTGCGGCGGCTTGGCGAGAGCATGATTTTGGGAGGCGGAAAAGGGACTCGCAGCCACAATGTGCGTGGCGCTTTGGCGGGAGCACGACTGCGACAGTTGGAGGACGCCGGAAAACAACTTTCGAGTTTCGCAAAACGCCTAATTGAAGTCCTTTCCATGGAAGGGTGTCGAGTGCCCTCGGCAGGAATGCAGCGGCTTCGAGTGTTTCAAATCTCCAGCCAAAGGATTATGTTCTGTGGAGCGACACGATTTTGCGACGTCGGCGCTGATTATGAAACGGTGGCAGTCGAAACCGGCTGGCAATCGATGCTGACATATTTAGTAACCTCTGTTACACGACATATGGCCACAAAACGGTGTCCTGCATTCATATCCGGTGCAATGGCATGCCCTCGATAAAGCGGCAGGGTGCAATACTTACGATATGTCTGGACCATGCAACTCCCAAGCGCAAGCACGATGTGCAAGCTGGGTTACTGTAGCAACCAATTTGAATCCTTGTGGGTCGCCACTCCAGCTGGCTGGCTGGCTGACTGACTGACTGACTGACTGACTAACGGACGGACGCTTTGACGGACAAACGGAATGAATGAATGAATGGACGAACGAATGAAGGAATGTTTGGATGAATGCATGAGCGATTGAAGGAATGAAGGAATGAATGAATGCATGCATGAATAAATGAAGGAATGAACAAAACAAGGAATGAAGGAATACAGGAATGAAGGAGTGAAGAAACGAATGAATACATGAATGAGTGAGTGAGTGCGTGAGCGAGCGAGAGAGTGAGTGAGTGAATGCATGCACGAATGCATGAAAGAAGGAATGAAATAAAGAATGAAAGAACGAAAGAACGAATGAATGAATGCATGAATGCATGAATGCATGAATGAAGAATGAACGAATGAATGAATGAATGAATGAATGAATGAATGAACGAACGGATGAATGAATGAATGAACGCATGAATGAAAGCATGAACGAATAAATGAGCGAATGAACCAACGAACGGATGAATGAACGAACGAAGGCATGAGTAAGCGAATGAAAGACACTCGTTCTCTAGTTGCTGAGCGTGCAGAGCGCTTTGCTTTATGCAGCATGTGCCGACCTATTTGCACTGTGTGTGTAGGGCGCATTTGTTGTGCGCACCCAGCAAGCGTGTTTGTTGGATATGCACATGCTCACTCACTCGCTCACTCGCTTGGCTAAGTTCGCGCAATTTGCACGACCAATCCCTGCGGAGCTCTTTGGCACGGGCCACGCCATGACTCAAATAGAAGGCGTCGTTGTGCAGCCGTGGAAAGTCATCAGTAGGACGAGTGTTGGGAGCATTGGCCTGAGGCTGTTGAACCGGCAACAAAGCCTAGCTCAACACATCCACGATGTTGAGCACAAACATCTTGCGATGTCCGCGGCTCGGACAAGAAAAGAACAACAGGAAGTGCAGCATGATAGCAAAAATAACTGAAGCAGTGATCTGCATGAGCCAAGTCAAAGCTTCAACATGCAATGCCGCCCAGCAAACAAAGATTGCGGTACAGAACAAGAGTTCAAGATCCAAGAGTTCTGCAAGACGTGAGCCACGAGACTGAGATTCTCTGAGAATGAGGGAACACGCGAGAGCCGACTCCGACAGCTGCTGCTACATGGTTTTGTGCTGCTGCAAGGTCTAATGGGTGTGGGCCACGCGAGTCCTGTTGCTGGGGGTTTGTCGCACAACAATCTAAGTCCAACGAGTCTTCGTGAGCCGAGTATAGTGTTGCGCAAACATTGCCGTTTTTTGCCCTCCTGCAAGGCGTGAGGTCGCAACCTGTCGCGACATTCAGCGCTGGGCAGATGTTTCCATGCCGAGCGAAGTAACCGAGACAGACCCCACCGGGAATTACTAGTTTAACTATTTTAATCCGGAGCCCTCCCCCAATATTTAAACTATTGAATTCCCGGGTGGTCCTGGGCCCGGCCCCCTCCTCCCCAGGACTAAAACTACAGAAATCTCTAAACCTATTTAACTCCCGGTCCTAATTAAATTGTTTAAATAATTTAAATCCGGAGCCCTCCCCCAATATTTAAATTGTTTAAAATATTCACTTCCCAGCCCGAATTAAAATATTTAAATACTTTAAATCCTGGGGAGGAGGGGGCCGGGCCCGGGACCCCACCGGGTATATAATAATTTAAATAGTTTAAACCCGGAGCCCTCCCCCAATGTTTGAATCATTTAATTCCCAGGTGGTCCTGGGCCCGGCCCCCTCCTCCTCAGGATTTAACTTATTCAAACAATTTAATTCCCGGCCCGAATGGAATAACTTAAATATTGGGAGAGGCCTCCGGATTTAAATCATTTAATTGTGGGTCGCTGGAGCTCTGCAAACCAAAACCCTTTTATTTGCCAGCCAGAACTGGTGGTTGTGAACAGAGACACAGGTCTGGCTGGCAAATACAGGGGTTGAAGTGTCACATCCCTCCCCCCTCCACCCCACCCCTCCACAGCGGTGGTTGGTAATGGAGTACGACATCACGAAAGTACTGTAAATACCGAGTACCATGGATGTGCTTTTAAACAGGGTTTAGGAGAGGTGGTTGGTAGGAGTGGGGGGTGCGCCTACTACTCCTGTTGCTGCTGCTGCTGCTACTACTACCACCACTACCACTACGACTACTACGACTGCTACTGCTACTGCTACTGCTACTGCTACTGCTACTGCTACTGCTACTGCTACTGCTACTGCTACTGCTACTGCTACTGCTACTGCTACTGCGCACGCTATTCATCCTGAAGCATCAATCTACACTGCTCCTTAAAGGCAAGTCAAAGCTGTTCTCAAAGGATCCCTACCTAGCCCATGTAGCCAAAACTTCAAGATTCGTTAAGAGCCAGAAGGTCCATGCACAACTAGACGAGGGATTCAACCCTGGGAGCAACCGAGCCACTTCGACTCACAAAGCGCGAGCAGTGACTGGGCGGAAATGAAAGTCCCTGGCTTGCTGTCCACCTCCGGGCTGCTAAGGGAACAGGACAGGTTATGCGGGTTATGCACCAATACACCTGCCGTGACGACAACGAATACAGCTCGTGCTGCTACTGCTACTCTTACTCCTAGGGCTAATACTACTACTACTACCACTACTACTTCTGCTACTACTACTACTACCACCACCACCACAACAACCGCTACTACTACTACTACTACTACTACTACTACTACTACTACTACTACGACTACTACTACCACCACCACGACGAC